TCCATAACTATTTGAACTCTCCCAAGGAACAGGTCTGGGATGGATATTTTTTCTTCTTAATGACCCAGTTTGTGAGGCCTGTATTCTCATTTCCTCTCCAGTCCATCTCAGAAGCTCCTGCCTTTGGACTTTGATTCTTCTAGCTCCTTTCTCTTATCATGCCTGGCTGCCCTCTAACTTCTCTTTCTCCAAATTTTCCCTGTTCTTCTAGGACCAACCCAGGTGGTTTCATGGGTGTGTTCCTAGTATCATAATTCATCAAACTGTACACCTAGGATTGGCACATATTTTTAATGTATGATGCATTTTAATAAAACATTTACTTAAAAAGATAAGTATTTTGATCCAGGTACAAGACATCAATAACTCTGCTTCCATGAGGTTGTAAATAATCTTCATGGTACTAAAAGTAAAGCTTATTCTTATGAATCAGTTACAATATGTTCATCTTCAAGAAACAGAAGCCCCATCTCAAGCTGGTTTAAATGGGGACTTTATTATCTCAGGGCACAGGAAGTTGTGAGGTAGGCAGCATCAGCGACAGCTGACTTTGTGGCTCAGTGATGGCACTGAGGACCCAGGTCATACTGTCTGCTCTGTGCCTGGGCACTAGCTGTGTCTGGACATCATTTTCTTCCTGTGGCTCCCCATGAAGAGCAAGGGAACTTTCCAGCAACTCCCTTCCTTTCAAAAAATTGGCCCCTTCACACCGCCTCAGTCAGAAGTGAAGAAGAGGGGGCACCTGGGTGGCTCAGTCAGTTAAGTGACTTCGGCTCAGGTCATGGTCTTGCAATTTGTGAGTTCAAGCCCCATGTCGGTCTCTGCCCTGTCATGCAGAGCCTGCTTTGGATACTTTGTCTCCCTTTCGCTCCTTCCTCTCCTTCTCTCTCTCTGTCTCAAAAATAAATAAATGAATATTAAAAAAGAAAGTTGAAGAAGAGAAGTCAAGAGTCTTTGAGTCTCATGTTGGGAACAAACACTGTCACTCCATCCCAAGGAAGGAGGGCACCTTTAGGCAGATGAACAGGTGAGGCTCATGTTCCAGGGATTTTCTCTTACCCCCTTTTTAAAAAATTTTTATTTATTTCTGAGAGAGAGAGAGACATTGTGAGCAGAGGAGGGTCAGAGAGAGAGGGAGACACAGAATCTGAAGTAGGCTCCAGGCTCTGAGCTAGCCGTCAGCACACAGCCTGACACGGGGCTTGAACCCGCGAACCATGAGATCATGACCTGAGCCGAAGTCAGATGCTTAACTGACTGAGCCACCCAGGTGACCCATTCCAGGGATTTTCTTAACACTTTCAATGATTTACGTTTTAGCTCTTCTCTGCCACGTCTTCCAATATTGCTTAAATCTGGTTGGAGTGGCTGTAAGACTGCTTACTTGCAGGAGGAGAAGGTGGACAGTGAAGGGTCACGTAGTGGGCTTAAGGAGGGCTGCTGCCCTGGTGCTCTGTGGGGGTTATTACCAACCAGGAAAGAGCCTCAGCGCCCAGCCCAGGCTGCATGGTGGGTGAAATGGATCCTGGCCTCAGCCTCCTGGTTCAGGGTTTTGAGGATGGTCTTACAGCACCATATCAAAGTGTTCTCTCAGAGCACTTAGCACCCTTCCAATTTTACATTTCCTTTGGTGATTAACTGATTAATAGCTTTCCCCCTACTCTGTAAGCTCTCCAAGGGTAGGGAATATGTCTTTTTGCTCAGCTTTGTATCTCCAGCATCTAGAACAGTGTCTGAAACATATAGAAGTTCAACACCACTGGCTGAATCAATGAATATGGTGGGTAGAACATGGGTTTTTACTTTACTTATTTTTATATGTTTATGTATTTTGAGAGAGAGAGAGCACACACATGCAGGGCAGGGGGAAGAGCAGAGAGAGAGAGAGGGAGGGAGGGAGAATCTCAAGCAGGCTCCACACTCGGCATTGTGCTCTACGTCAGAGACATGGCAGCCTTCCAAAAGAAGGTGCTGTTTAGCCTTTTACAAATGGGGAAACTGAGGCACAGAACATTTCCCCACTTGTAAGTGGTAAGACCAGATGTGGAGCACGGGTGTGTTGTTCCAAGTTCTCCCTGACCCCACCTGCCTGTCATCTCTAGGCTGCTGTCAGACACGTAGGGACAAGGCAGCCTAAGGTCACCCCCATCTTCTGGGTGTGAGAGCAGATGCGTGACGAGGGAAGAACCTCTATGACGCCCAAGCTTCTCAGGGAGCCCTTTGTGCTGCATGAGCCTGTCCCTGGATGGTTGTGCAGAAGCCAGATCGTGGCAGCCCCTCCCCTTCCCTTGGGCTTTGTTGGGCCCTTCTGCTCCCAGGTTCTCCCAGGAAACCCCTGGTGCCCACCACCTGCAATTTCATGCCCACCCCACCCCCGACTTAAGCCCATCTTGAAGGCAAGGAAGGGGTGTTTCCTGAGGGCCATCTGTTGTGCCAGATACCATACAAGGCTTCTTTTAAGTTATCACCAGGACTTGGAGGTGGGGATTGCTATTCCCGTTTGCAGGTGAGAAAATGGAGATGAAAAGTATTTTGTTTTGCACAGCCAGTAAGTAGTAAAACTCGCCGCAAATCAGACCTTCCCCACTTCCTGTTCCAGGATGAACGGTAGCAGACTCAGCCCTGGCGTGGCTGGACCCCGGATTCAGTATGTCGGGGGGAGCCTAGGAGCCTCCTCGCAGCCACAGTCACCCCTCTTCACTACCATGTTGATTTTAAGCTCAGTTTCTGTGCTCAGGCCTGCCATTTCCTGTTGACCGGAGTCCTGTCCCAAATACATGCCCAGGTCCCTGACCCCTCCTTAACTCCTGTTAAAAACAAACAAACAACAAAAAAAAGGTGAGGGGTGCCTGGGTGGCTTAGTCAGTTAAACGATTGACTCTTGATTTCAGCTCAGGTCAGGAAATTGAGCTCCACATCGGGCTCAGATCATGAAGCCTGGTTGGGATTTTCTCTCTCTCCCTCTTTCTCTGCCCCTCCCCGCTCATGCTCTCTCTCTCTCTCTCTCTCTCTCTCTCTCTGTCTGTCTCTCTCTCAAAAGAAACGAACAAAAAAGCAAAAGTTCTAAAAAAACCAAAACAAAACAGTTGATTTATTTATTTCATGCAGGCAAATGAGTGTTCATTTACAAAAGCCAGCCAGGCACTTCGCCAGTCAGAACAAAAAAAGTACATTGAAGCCGACGTCGGTGAACTCTCTCCAGAAGAAAGGAAGGAACGGCACACTTCCCTAGGAGGCATTACATTTCTAGGAAACCCATATTAAGAATATGTCATAATCTGCTCCCCGGCCTTCACAAACACATGTGTTCATTATAAAATGAAAACTGAGAAAGGAATAAAAGGAAAATCTTACGATCCTATCATCCTACCACCCTGTATCTATGTATCTAATATGTGTATTTACAAAATTGGAGTTTTGCAATAGGTAGAGATATATATTATCTATAATATCAACGTTTTGTTATATATAATATATATGATTTTTATATTTTTATTTATTTATATATATATAATTTATTTATATATATTTTTATATATATATTTATTTATAATATATATAAATATATATATGATATATAATATCAAATGCCTTTTGTTAACATCCTTTTTAACGGTCGGATGGTAGTATGGTGTGGCAGAAATCGGTACCTCACCAGCTTGGCTGTGCTTCATAATCGCCTGGGGAGCTTACACGTGTTGGTGGATTCCTGGGCTCCTTCCCATACATTAGTACTGTGTTCTAGGTTTAGAACTCTGCATTTTTACAAGCCGCCCTGGTGATTCTGACACAGCCCGGCCTGCTGTGACCCATTTTCAGAGCGACTGGTGACCGTGAGCTGTCGTAAGCAGTCAAAGTGGCCCTGGGCAAGGCCACCTGAGGCACGTGGTGAGAGCAGAGGAGCCCAGGACGGCGGCTGACCGAGTTCCTGCCCGGCTCTCTCCTTGAGGGAGCGGCAGAGTCGGCCTCCTGGAGTTGACATGGAAAGGAAAAAGATGGGAAGGAAGAAAGACAGATTGAGGTGGATAAGGCCTGGGTCTTCCTACGTGTGAACTCACTTTGGGAACTCCTCATACCATGTAGAGCTCACCCCTGACCCCTGTTTTTCACCTTCTAGCTAGTACCACCGTGGGGGTCTTTTTAAAATTTTGTTTCCTCCTGTGAGCATCTCATCATGATGCTTTCCTCCTCTTCAACTCTTTCCCCAGGGCTGGACCCTTGCTGCTCCATCTGGGCGTCTGCTGTGGGGACAGCTGGCGTCCTGGCCATCTCCAGCTGAGTGGCTCCCTCCTAGTGTCACACAGTGTTACACACTGGGGCCCGAGCAAACCTCTCAGCCAGGCTGAGGAAAACGTGGTCCCATACCTACACACAGAATCTCAGGCTAAATCCAAACCTGTGTTTTCAAAGGGCCCCAGGTGATTGCTATACACATTCAAGTTGGAGAAGCCCTGTTCGAAGGGGTAAATAACATAATTCAGGAAGCATTGCTGCCCGACACTGAAGGATCTGATTCAAGGAAGTGAGACCATAGGCTACAGGGGCAAGCAAGTCACTGAAAGCTGGTCTTGCAGCTCTATTATCAGTCTGTCCTCCATCCTGGATTGGCCTTGTGATCTCAACTTTAAGGGAAGGACACGAGCCATTTTTCAAAGGGCGTCAAGCCCCAGCACTGCCGGGAGGCCTCGGGCTGTGGCGCTCAGGCTCTGGGAGACACCTGCCTGCTTTGTTAGGGGAGAGTAAGGACCAGTGGGAACAAATTCTGAGTGACACGGTGAAGCTCCTATCTGCATTTGGAATGACAGCCCAGTTCTGTTCAGGAAAGAAGCACAATGGCCCTTTATCACTGGCTGTTACCAGATTTCAACGGCCGGAACCAGCCAGACAGGCCAGGGGATGATTAAGAGACAAAATGCAAGGCATTGTGATGGTGCCATGCCTCAGCCAGTCCTGAGAGACCTATCATAACAGCCATTGTTCACACAGCCCCTGCCCGGGCCTCACCTCTTTCCTCGGAAATACTGTGGGACAGGGACACAGGTCTCTTCATCTCTTCCCAGGAAAAGGGATATGAAGTTGCAGTAAACTCTGGGGTCCAAGAGGGATGGTGGTGAGAGGGATGAAGGGGGGCGCACGGGCAGGACAGAAGGTGATGATGAGGGTGGCTTAGCTCACGGGCCACAGCAGATCCGGAAGGCACGATCCATTAGTGTTGCCCCAGGGCCTTGAGGAGCCAAAAGCAAGCCGAGGGTGGGGAGGGCAGGGAAATGCTGTTCCTGGCCCACACTCCTGAGATAGGATGTCGGGAAGCCCAGGTTCAGAATCCACACCCCACTGATGGCTAGGTGTCTTTGCCATCGTGTGTACATTTTCTGAGTCTCACTTTCCTTGTCTGTAAAATGCAGATACTGACATTTGCCTCATGGGAGGATGCGACAATGAAATTAAATGAAATGAAGCATAAGAAAGTACCTAGCACAGCACTTGGAACACATCAGGAGCTCAGGTTCAGAAAGATGTTGCTTTCTGTTGCCTGTCACCGAATACACCACACACACCCTGCCAGTTCCACTCTCTAAGAAAGGTTCAAAGCGTGGTTCTCAAAGGCAGCCTGTGGGGAGGGGGCAAGTTAGACTACTGCAATTATCCAAGGGCTAGTTAATTACGGTGTGCGTCGAGTGTACGGGGAATAGAAAAAAGGCAGTGATTTTAAACAGGATCTGATGTCACCAAATTTGGATTGTAGAAGAATGACTTTCAAGCGCGATGAATGACGGGGTCTGTATTTTCTCCCCTTGAATTATTTTATTGTTTCACTTGAATTGTCGTATTGTCCAGACCGTTTGCCTGATTGTTGCCTTCACCTAGTAACCAAGGCCACGTTCTCCTCTGCAGTTGCCAGAGGGCGTCACCCAGAGACAGATCTGTCTCCAGCTGCCCTGTGTTCAGCCCTGTCTTGCGGGATGGCAAGACGAATGGTCTTCTTCCCATGCTCATCACCGGGACTCATTCTCACCGACCCTGTTGTAAATGCCAACTAGAGTGAATTGTTCATGCGATGTCTTCCCACTGCCTCAGAGGAGGTTTGTCTCAGTCCCACGCGGAGCCTCTGCTGCCTTTGAGCAGGTGCGTGCTGTGCACGGGGCCCCTCCTTGTCATGGTCACCCTCATCCAGGCCTTGGCGATTCGAGCTCTGGGAGCACCTCTGTACCATTTGTTAACAGAGGAGGGCAAGCAACCCTGATGAGTTTAAACTGGAGTCCATGGAGGCTGGCTCCGGGGGCCGGCATGAGTGACCACTCTACTCCACGAGGCCTCTCCCCTCTGAAGAGCAAGGCTTGCGCACCCAGCTCTGCATTAATGCAAATGCTCTCTCTCTTACTCTAAGAGCAGACTCCACCGCCCCTCCACTGCTCTGCTGCACAAGTGAGCTACCGCTGTGCCCGGTGGTGGGCCCTGCGAGGGTGTATGCTGGGTGCCGACTATGGCTGTATGCTGAGATCTCATTTCCTTTTCTTGACTTTTAGGGTTACTCCCTCAACTCTCAGTGGTCAGGTATGCTGCAATTTCCAGTCTCTATTTTCTTCCCATCAGGGTCAGAGCTACTTGGGTCTGGCTGAGGGGGGAGAGATTGATAGGCCAGGCAGGGAGTACACGTGGGGTGCTGCCGTGGTGCTGAGGGTGTAGCTGCTCTCTAGTAGAGGATGCTCAGGGGGTCCAGACTCCCTCTCACTTTCACTGATGAATTACCCCCTTGGCCTCCGAAATCTGTCTTTCTTCTGCCAACTTCTTGCTCTTTAATAAAGGAAATTAGCCAGGGGATTCTTTAATAACACTCTAGTATGTGCACCAGATTTTTAAAAAAAACTTTTTTTAATGTTTTATTCATTTCTAGGAGAGAGAGAGAGAGAGAGAGAGACAGCGTGAGAGAGAGACAGCGTGAGCAGGAGAGGGTCAGAGAGAGAAGGAGTCACAGACTCCGAAACAGGCTCCAGGCTCTGAGCTGGCAGTCAGCACAGAGCCCGACGCGGGGCTCGAACCCACGAAGCGCGAGATCATGACCTAAGCGAAAGTCGGACGCTCAACCGACTAAGTCACCCAGGCGCCCAATAACATTCTAGTATGTGCACCAGATTATTGGCTATTTGGCTAAGTTGAGCTGTCAGTCTTAGCTTCATCTCATTTGATTTCCTCACTAACGTCTTTGTTTTGGTGAGGATGAAGATAAATCAATATGTTATAGCTTCCTAAGTTATACATTTTACAGATTGGAAATTTTTAGTAAAACTGGCTGAACTTTCTGCCTTTGGGGTAGACATGCCTCATTAGTTTATTTATTCCACAGATCTCAGAGTGCCTCCTTTTTATAAATGAACTCTCTTATTGGATGCAAGACTGTTGTGGATTTATCCTGGAACCCAGGCTGGGAACACTATGCCATAGGGGGCCATTGAGTGGAGGTGGGGGGCACTTGTTTTAGAATTAAAAAAATTTTTTTAAAGTTTTATTTATATTTGAGAGAGAGAACACTGGTGGGGAAGGGGTAGAGATAGAGATGGAGACACAATCTGAAGCAGGCTCCAGGGTCTGAGCTGTCAGCACAGAGCCCGATGCGGGACTTGAACCCACTGACCATGAGGTCATGACCTGAGCCGAGTCTGATTGGATGCTTAACTGACTGAACCACCCAGGCAGCCCTAGAATTTCTTAAGAGATATTGCTTCCGGAAGAAGTTCTGTTAATGTCCCTAGTGACCCTTTTCTTATTTCCAGATCAAAACCAAACATCGTTATTGCTCCTTGGGTAATATATAGGAAATCTCCAAGAAGAAAGATGGCACTCGTCTATAGCTGTAACAGGTGTGACTCACAGGGACTTGAATGTGTTTATCCAGTAGGGCCTACAATGGTACTGGCAAGTGCACATTGCCCACAGACCTACCTTCTTTGGATGGGTGAGCTGATCTGGCCTATTAGCCCCAAGTACCCCAAGCCTTTCCCGAAGATAAGGACAGAAGATGCACTGTGAGTCATCAAGTGCCTGGACCTCCTGTCTCATGTGGGATCCATATCTGCCAGTCTTCCCACTTGCCACTCTGTTATCCCCTCCAGGGCATGGCTTGGAGCTAAATTCTTTCACCCATCCCTCCTCCCATTCACTCTGCTTTGGAAGCTGGTCCACTAAGCCTCTTGGCCCTTGCAGCTCTGGCAGAACAACTGCCTCATTTCTTGGGGACACCTGTTGGTCTTGATAATGGATCCAGCTTCTCAGTTCCATGTTACTGCAGCTTATGTCTGTGGGTTCTTATACACAAAGCCTTTTTACCTTCGCTTGGAAGGGTCCCATCCAGGCTTCAACATCCCATAGTAGGAAAGGATCAGTATCTGTCTTGGGTTGAAAGATGACAGTGAGGACATGATTTAGTTCTCTCTTTCCTAGAAGTAAGAGAGTCAACTAATATTTTACCAGCACCATGATGCCCTTGAAGAAACCTCTCTTATTTCTTCATGCGGCCTGGAGAATTCTTCAGTCTGGCATGGATGTTTCTGTGGGTGACTTTTCTTTTACCCTTACCTCCAAACCTCATAGAAACCTAAAGAATACCATAAAAATTCACCTGTCTTATTATCCTTTCTTCCCAAAGTGCCAATCTTGCCAAACTCTCTAATATATATTCATAGCTTCTTCCCAAAGTTTATAGCTCAAGGCATCTGACAGGTAGGTAGGAAGAGGAAGTAGCTCATACGAGCATAGTTTTCTAAGGAATCACTCATCACAGTTTGATAACACAATTATGGAAATGAACTATTCTAGTCAGATAAGACACAGTGATATTCTCACGTCAGGTCAAGGAAAAGGGAGGTTTTTATAAGGATAGACATGGAGAGAATTGAATAGCTGTCAGGATCCAAGATATCTCTGTGGATGAGTTTCTCCATTTCCATCTCCCTCTCTCTCTCTCCCTCCCCTCCCCTCTCGCCTCTTCTGTCTCTGTTTGCATTTCTCTGCACAACTGTACCATTGTCTTTCTCTATCAGTCCATTTCCTCTGCTTACTCATGGATCCTATTGTTTAATGGGTTTGAAATGGTCCATTGTGATCTCCCTTGTTTGAATCCTATACCATGAACTTTGGGTTTCGATTCCCACTAAATGACTCAGTCTCTTGGCCATAGTTTGTGGATCAATCTGTAGATGAGCTCCCATGGATGGGAGGTCTTCCTTGGTCCAATCTGCTTTGGCTAGGAGGCGTTAAGTCACATGGTGCTAAGCCAAATGTTGGCCCAGCATTAAGTGCTGTGCAGGACAGTGTCCTTCTGAAGGGACTGTAGGCATGGCAAGTACACTAAAGCGGGCCCACCCCACCATACATCCTTGGTATGGTGAGGATCTGGGCTTTTTTCTTTCCATTTCAAGTAAAGACATAAGAAAGGTGGTTCCCAGGAGGGTGGACTCTGGCATTGGCTGAGAGCACAAATTACCCTCAGAAATAGTCTGGTGATTTGTAAGCAAATGCTACCATTCTTTTTAAAAATGTGCCAACAGGCACCTGGGTGGCTCAGTCAATTGAGCATCCAACTTCGGCTCAGGTCTTGATCTTACCAGTTCGTGGGTTCCGTCTGGCTCTGTGCTGATGGTTGGCTACAGATTCTGGGTCTTCCTCTCTCTCTGCCCCTCCCCCGCTCATGCTCTGTATCTCTCTCTCAAAAATAAATAAACATTAAAATTTTTTTTAATGTGCCAAGAATTTCCTGTTAGGTCTACTGAGCATGACCCTTTGTGGATTCTGGAATCTGGAGCAGGTGGGGAGGTAGGTGGTCAAGAAGCATTGTTTTCTCTTTAATTTTACTCCAGCTCTGTCTAGAGGACAATTTGGCGGAGCTTTCATGGGCCAATCACCAGAGAGAGGCAAAGGCAATTGCTCTCTGTTTCACACCTGTTGAGGAGGCCGAGGTGGGAGTGTGTGTCTTGGGAAAGAGTTAATAGATCTGGATGGGGAGCAAAGAAAAGATATCAGTGATCAAAACAAGAGGTGTACGAAAAGAAAACACATTTTTGGTGGGCAGATATTTCCTTCCACAAGGAGTTATAATGATATTAGCCTCTGGATAGAGACTCAGAGAGGAAGCCCACAGTGAGGGAGTCTCATTCTAGATTTCATTATTAGTAGGTTCTCTTGCCTGTAGGTAAAAACCGCATTTATTTGTAATAAGGGTGTTTTATTCTCCCTTCTGTCATCCTTTGTTTTATTTTATAATCTGCTCAAAGCTCTCATGGGGAAGAGAGAGGCTATTTTTGGACTTCTCAACTCCAACATTTGGTGCATGGCCTTGGAACACTGAGAAACAGAACGTAGGAGTTGAATAACAAATTGGGAGGAAATTTAGATTTTAATTTTCTTTGAACCTTAAATCACAAAGGGAAGAGAATATGATTTTGGACTTCAAATCCTTTGGACTTTAATATCTTTGGAATTTAACTTAATCATTGGACTTTAATTCCTTCCCAGAAAGTTCATGATGAGAAGAGGTTGATATTCAAATTTGGAACATGTTTAATTGGTATTTTATTGCTGGAATATCTCAACATCATTTGATTTTATTGCAGAACATAGAATGGTTTATATTTAGAGTGACCATATAATTTATCAGCCAAACTAGGATAGTTTTCAGAGAGAAAGGAGGATCTATTAATAATTAAGCTGCAACAACAGGCATGAACCTGGACTGTTTTGGATGAACTTGGATGTATGGAGAACATGTGGAAAGAAATAATTAGGAAAGAGAAATGGAATGCGAATGAATTTCCACCAGTGTAGTAGATTTAATTAATGAAGATATTCCGACCCACATAAAAGCCCTCGGGGGATCAATTCTAACTTGTTCACCAGTGGTCCCAGCAGGATCTACAAGGGAGCCGTCCCAGTCAGGACCACGCAGTCAGGCAAGAGGAGCCACCACAGGCATTTCAGATAGAGAGGATTCAATGGAGGGAATTGGATGCACAGGTGTGGGAGGGTGGAAAGAGTGATAAGGAGGAGTAGCAGAGAGATGAATAAGGACAGGAAGCTGCTACCATCCCTGACTGTGGGAACAAAAGGAAAGAGGTGGAGTCATCCTAGGAGGTTGCACCCCCAGTGCAGATGCTGGGGTCCAAGCTCCATGCAACTCAGGAGAGGCACAGTCGATTTTGCTAATAACTCTGAGATGGTGAGGTTGGGGACAAGAAGAATGCCCCTCCGTTCTCCCCAGTTGTGTCCTTCCTTCCAGTCTCCTGCCTGTCTCCCTTTGGCACACCCTACCTAACAGAGCCGACTGCCAAGGGAGTCTGGGAAATGCAGTTTGCAGAGCCCCAGCACCAAATTGAAGGTGAACTTGAAGGGTGGGCTTGGCACTGAGAAGCAGTAGGGAGATAAAGGGCCTACATGCAGTGGATGGCACCAGGGGAGTGCCTGATGAAGGAGGGGCAGAAAGGTCTTGACGGACCTTCCCATCTCCTTCTTCGAGTATTGCCACCCTCTGGCTGACCACAGCTTACTAGTTAAGCATGGACAGTTGATGAAAATCACAGTGGGTGCTTCTCTCTTCCTAATGTTTCCTTTCATGTGGAGATGTCACATTCCCAACTTCCATTTGCTTGCCCTTCAATCACCCAAGGAAAAAGGAATGGCTTAATCTGCGTTACAAATCTGGGAAGAAGAAACTGGGTATGCTCAACTCAGCCTTCCCCTTCCTCTGGGTGCAGGCTCCTTGTAGGAAGCGGAGGTTCTCTTCTGCCCTTTCATGTGTACATCTTACCAGTTCATTCATAAGACTAATATGTACTGGCACCTGCTTTATTTCAGGCACCGTTCTGGTCCCAGGGATACCACAGTGAATGAAACAGAAAAGATCCTTATCTCATGGGACCTGCAGGTAATCAACAATAACCATAACCAATACGTATATCGCAGAGTATATCAGAAGGTGGCAAAAGCTGGTGTCAACACAGAACAGTGAAGGGGACCGGGGTTGCGGTTCTGGGTCAGCCTCATTCAGCAAGCCCCTCTGAGCCAACGAGGAGTGCTATTTGTGGCCATCACTCAGAACCCCACCAAACGCCCTAGCTTTTGAGGGGAATATTGACCACTGTGTTCCTCAGTCTAAGCAATCACTGTCCCCAGTCCTGGACATGCTCTGAGTGGCCTGTATGAGTAGGCCTAAGCCCAGCAGAGACAGGCTGAATCACCTCCTGAGGTGGTGTCTGGGAACCTCAATCAGAACTGCCTATGATTATGCTTTAACCAGCTTTGCAAACAGATGCATATGGTCCCTTACCCTACCTCCCTCGCCCTGCGTCTGATTTGCATCCAAGACAGTGGCAATAGCAATGTTATTGGCAAGCAAATAAACACTGCTTTTCTTTCAGGCACCGATCCTCAAAGGGTGGTCCAGATCCTGGAGGCTGGAGGGTCCTGTCCTTGAGAACCTTTCAGGGGGTGATGTGGGAGGTCAAAACTATTTTCATGGCAGCACCAGGATGCTCTCCGCCTTCTTCATTTTCATTCTCTCATGGGTATGGTCGAATTTTCCAGAGGTTACATGGCATGTAATAGCACAACAGATTGAGTGCAGAAGCAGATTAAAATACTCTTTTTCCCCTAAGTACATATTTGTGTGAAGCCTGATTTTCTTTATATATTTCCATCAAAACAACATATTGCAACAGATTGAATGCAGAAGATATGAAAATCCAGCTGTCTTCTATTAAGCCGAACTTAAAGAGAGTTGCAAAAGTTAAAACAATGTCACCCTTCTCACTAATTATTTTGGGGAGAAACATAGTTACTTTCCAAATAAAAGATATTTATGTTAATAGGTAATGAGCTTATTACTGCTACTTGTAAATGAATCCATAAATATTGAATATTCTCACTTTTAATTTTTAATGCAGTAAATATCAATGAGTATAATCCACATAAGGTGGTCCTGAGGGGGGCGGGAATGTAAGAAAGCCTGCTCTAGAGGGCTTTGATGTGATGTCACACTCACCCATTGTTAGAGCTCCCAAAACTCCTCTTTGGAAGCATCCTTCCTTGTGTCCAAGCATCATATAAATACATGGCCATACTTATCCACTTGATTCTCTTTTGGGTGTCCACATGGACACAGAACTATTTTAGATTAAGTCTATCTTCTTGGGGGGGAAATGCATTTAATCCAGTGTGGAAAGAAGAAGAAATTGAACTGTCCTGGGTTTATCTAACAGATATAAGAAGAGTTGCAAGAGGAGGAAGTAGGACTCTTAGGAGAACACGTTTGTCTTCAGGTGGGTCCCAGGGCCACTGGATGGAGGGAGGCAAAGGGAGCCTGCACACTCGGCCATGAGGAATGTAGGCTTCTAAATCCTGGCCCACTGAAGGTCTGCACAGACTTGCTATTCCATAATTACCTGAGTTGCTTGCTATACATACAGATCTCCAGGTTCTGCCCAGAACCCAGTGAAGCAAAATCTCTGGGTCTGGAGATCTAGCAATTTGTACTTTTTTGTTTTTGAAACTTCTGTGAGGTAGGTTTGCGGCCATTTGATCAGCGTCCTTAAAGGCAGTCAGGTAGTTCTGGGGATGTGTGACTTACAAGTTTTTGGCCCCAAATATTTCTCCCAGCTACCTACTGCAGGCCCAAAGTACTCAGGCTTGGTGATTAGTTCTTTGGGGTTAGGACATAATCATCTTCAGTGTTCCAGATTTACATGCAAATCTCTCAAGGAATGCTGCATTCACCTGAGCTCTGGTGACATCTTAGTAGGTGTGTGGTGTACCTGCTTTGCCCTGCGGGATGAAGAAGGGTAGAAAGGTTGTGGACAAGGAGGAGAGGGAGACTTTGGGAAAGGATATGAAAGGATATGGGAAGAGCTTAAGGACTCCAGACTCCCATGACAGATAAGAAGAGAACAGAAGATGAATATTGATTTCTGCTGAACTGACTCCCAAGGCTTTGTGAAGGAGCCAAGATGTTTCTGTAGATTTTGAGAAATGTTGGCATCAATATCCCTATTACTTGATGCTAATGATACATGTTGGCTCTGAATGCAGAGAAGGAACTCAGAAGGATCTTTCCACCATCTTCGCTGTTTCTTGTATGTAACACAGTCCCAACTGATCACCTCCCTGTTTCTCGTCTGGTTCCTCTCTCTGCACTGTGTCCAGAATAATTGTTGTAAAACCCTTTTTGAAATACAGTTTTAGGGGCACCTGAGTGGCTCAGTCAGTTAAGTGTCCGACTTCAGCTCAGGTCATGATCTCACGGTTTGTGGGTTCAGGCCCAGCGTCGAGCTCTGTGCTGACGGCTGGCTCTGAGCCTGGAGCCTGTTTCAGATTCTGTGTCTCCCTCTCTCTCTGACCCTCTCCTGCTCATGCTGTCTCTCTCTCTCTCTCAGAAATGAATAAAAATTAAAAAAAAAGAAATACAGTTTTAGAAATTCTGTTTACTGTGAAATGTAATGTGCATTCCTAAAAGTGCACAAGATATAAATATATAGGTTAATGAGTAATTAGAGCATGTAACTGCCATCCAGAGCAAGAAATATAGCCTGTCCATCCCTCTTCTGCAGGCCCCCTCTCAAAGAGGGTTCTTCCCTCTCCTACAAAGGTGTCTGGCCATGGCTTTTATAAAAAGCAATTTTCTTGCTTTGCCTTAAAATTTGTATCATCTATGTGTGCTTCCCCAAACACAGCAGTTTAATTTTGGCTGGTCTTGAATTTTATATGAAGCAAATTACATATAGTACCTTTTGGTATCTATCTTCTTTACCTTTTATGTTATGTTTTGAAAGATTTTTTTTCATGTTGTAGTAAGCATCTGTGGTTTTTTCATATTTGTTGCTATAAAGTATCTCATTATACGAGATCTAGCACAATCTGTTTCTTCTACCATTGGTGGACATTTGTTTTGTCTGCAACTGAGTTTCTTATAATCAATACTATTCTGAATATCGTTTCATGTATATCATGGTGCACATAATTACACTGTTCTGTGGTATGTGTACTCAGGAATGGAGTTTCAAGGTCATGGGGTATATGAGTCCTTAATTTTACTATTTAAAGGTGCATGATTTTCCAGAATGGTTGTACTAATTATTCACCCACCAGAACAGAGTGAGAATTTCTGGTGCTCTGTGCCCTCACCAGTACTCGGTATCTGTCAAAGTTTTCAATTTTTGCAAGTTCATTGGATGCATATTACTTTCTCATTGTGGCTTAGTTAGCTTTCTCCTGACTTTTAATGGTATTGAATTACACATGTTTACCAGCCACTTGGATCACCTCTTTCCTGAAGTCAAGTCTTGCCCATTTGTCTCTTTTCTATTGTCTTTTCTTACTGATTTGCATGGAGCTTTTTATATATTCTCAATACTAGATCTTGCTCAGTTATATGTGTTACAAACATCATCTCCTATTCTAAGTCTTGCCTTTTCACCTTTTCCATGATGGCTTTTGATTAACAGAGTTTCTAAATATAAGTAATCAAATTGATCTCTCTACAAACTGTAGATTTGTGTTTTGTTCAAGACATGTTTCCCTATTCAGAGATCTTAAAGCTATTGTCCTACATTATTTCCTTGAGGGTGTTTTGTCTTCACAGTTAGATCCATAATCCACCTAGAACCAACTTTGCATATGATTCACTAGGTTTTCATTTTAATTTTTTCCCATGTAAACACCTAGTTGTGCTAGTATAATGTATTGGAAAGAGTAGCCTTTCTCCATCCCTCTGCAATGCTACCTCTGAAATATATCAAGTTTTCCAAATGTGGGCATCTTCTTCTGGACTCTTTCTTTGTTCCATCTGCTAATTTGTCTACCCTGAAGATAATACCACAACCTTTATTTATTTATTTATTTTTAAATATTTTTATTTATTTCTAGGAGAGGGAGAGAGAGACAGCGTGAGCAGGGGAGGGTCAGAGAGAGAGGGAGTCACAGACTCTGAAACAGGCTCCAGGCTCTGAGCTGGCAGTCAGCACAGAGCCCGACACGGGGCTCGAACTCACGAACCGCGAGATCATGACCCAAGCGAAAGTCGGACGCTTAACCGACTAAGCCACCCAGGCGTCCCGACCACAACCTTTTTTTAAATTATGACTTTATGATAAGGTTTGGTACCCGGTTGGTCAAGTTTTTCCATTTTATTTTTCTTCCTAGTCAAGATGGTCTTGGATGTTCAACTCATTCTTTCAGGAGTAGAATTTAGTGATTCATCACTTACATATAACACCCAGTGCTTAATACAAGTGCCCTCCTTAATACCCATCACCCATATAGCCCATCCCCCACCCACCTCCCCTCCATCAGCCCTCAGGGTATTCTCTATCTTTAAGAGTCTCTTAAGGTTTGCTTCCTTCTCTTTTTTTAATCTTTCCCCTACGTTCATCTATTTTGTTTCTTAAATTCCACATGAGTGGAATCATGGTATTTGTCTTTCTCTGACTGACTTATTTAGCTTACATAATACATTCTAGCTCCATTCACATTGTTGCAAATGGCAAGCTTTCATTCTTTGTAATGACTGAGTAATATTCCATTGTGTGTGTGTGTGTGTGTGTGTGTGTGTGTGTATACTACATCTTCTTTATCCATTCATGAGTCGATAGACATTTGGGCTCACTCCATAATTGGGCTATTGTTGATAATGCTGCTGTAAACATTGAGATGCGTGTGTCCCTTTGAATCAGTATTTTTGTATCCTTTGGGTAAATACCTGGTAGTTTGGTTGCTGGGTCGCAGGGTCATTCTATTTTTAGCTTTCTGGGGAACCTCCATACTGTTTCCCAGAGTGGCTTCACCAGTTTTTAATACCACCAACAGTGTAAGAGGGTTCCTCTTTCTCTGCATTCTTGTCAACATCTGTTATTTCCCATGTTGTTAATTTTAGCCACGTTAACTCATTCTTTAATTTAAAGGGAACACCTTCAAAGTTTCATCATTAGGTTTTTTGATATGTAACGTTTAGAGTGAGTTAGGAATTTCTTTTTATCTCAAGTCTGAGATTTTTTTTATTATGCCTGGATGTCAAATAATTTTAACAAACATCTTCCCTACCTTTATTAAAAATCATTTAATCTATTAATTAATGAGCTATTGAGTGCTTGTCTAACATTAAGCCAACTTTGCGTTCCTGGAAGGAATGCAATTTGGTCATAAGTGTTAGTCTTTTTATATTTTTCTGGATTCGGTTTGCTAATATATTATTTCAAGTTTTTGTATGTATTTTCGTGACAAAAGTTGTCTTGTAATTTTCCTTTTTTGTAATTTGTAGGGTTTTGGCCTTGTGTATGTTTAATCTCAAAAATAATTTAAAAACTCACCTTTTTTTTCTAGTCTTCTGGATACTGTAAAGTTGGGAGTTGCTTTGTGCTTAAATGGTGGTAGAACTCACCAATGAAGGTACATTCTTTCTTTAGTGGTTATGATACTACTCACATGGTCTGTTTCTTCTTATGTCCATTATGGTAAGTTATCCCATGCATGTATATTTTCAATTTTTTTGGCATAAGTTTAATCATGATATACTTTTATGATCTCTTTGTTGACTCCAGGACCTACAGTGATATCCTTAAAAATATGATACTGCTTATTTATTCCTTCTCTTTTATTTCCCCTTTGACTAA